TCAGGGCTGGGAGATCAACCAGAGACGTGATATTCTTCCTGCGTCAACGTCAAGAAAAGTGAAGAGAGCAAAACTGACCATTGTACATCGCCTTTGTGGATCTAACCAAAACGTTTGACACTGTCAGTAGAGCAGGCCTATTTGCAGTGCTAGAAAAGATAGGATGACCACCAATCATTTTAAGTCTTATACGTTCCTTCCACAACAACATGAAAGCAACTGTTCAGTTTGATGGGTCCACTTTGGACAGCTTCATGGTGAAAAGGGGAGTGAAGCAAGGATGCATTCTTTCCCCCACACTCTTTGGTATCTTCTTCTTGGTATTCCTGAACTGTACATTTAGAGATGTGGAAGGTGGAGTATACCTCTACACAAGATCGGATGGGAAACTCTTCAACCTGTTATGACTTAGGGCAAAAACTAAGGTTAGAAAGGTGCTTATCAGGGAGCTTCTATTCACTGATTATTCTGTCCTTCTAGCCCATGATGAAGACCAACTACAAGAACTCATGGATCACCTCTCAAGAGCTTGCCAGGCATTTTCTCTCACCATCAGCATAAAGAAAACAGTTGTACTAGAACAGAGCGTTCCAAAAGATCCACCAATCATCCTTAATGAGAACCAGCTAGAAGCAGTCTGAAAATTCAGCTACCTAGGTTCTACAGTGACCACCAACCTCTCACTGGATGAAGAACTTAATGTTCACTTCTGAAAGACTGCCAACACCTTCAACAGGCTAACTAAAAGCACATGGAACAACTCAAAGCTTACCATCAAGACCAAAATGCTAGTGTACAAAGCTTGCATACTCAGCACTTTCATGTATGGTGGGCAAACATGGACAGCTTATCAAGAGAAAAGGTTAAACAGCTTCTACCTGCACTGTTTACACCACATACTCACCATCAAATGGCAAGATAAAGTTACCAATGCAGAGGTTCTTCAAAGGGCAAATGTAACAGCCCTACTCAAACACAGATGACTGCACTGGCTAGGCCATCTGAGCAGATTGGAAAATGGACACATACCCAAGGACGTGCTATACGGGGAACTATAGGAAGAAACAAAAACAACATGATGTCCCATGCTTCACTACAAAGACACATGCAAGTGAGATATGAAGGCATCTGGACTCAATCTTGACCAGTGGGAAACCCTGGCAAGTGATTGTAACATAGTCTCCACCAGGGCATCAAAGTCCACGACAGAAATTGGCTCCAACAGCTTGAAAAGAAAAGAGACTGTAGAAAGCAAGCAGCCCCCAAACCACTCAACCATGACATATATATTTGTAACCACTGCCACAGATCATGCAAATCTTGGATTGCACTATTCAGTCACAAGACACTGCAAACCATCTATGCTATAGGCTGCAATATCCACCGTCTCCCATAGATGAAAGGATGTCAAACCAACTCCAATATGGTGAATATCCAAATAGCAAAAAAGAAGAGCGTCTGGTGTATAATGTAATTTAAATGTACATTGATGAGTGAATTAAAGGAATTTTCATGCAGCATCATCATTACCCTTTCTAAGTTCCAATGTAGATTCAAACCTCAAAATGTAATGAGGCTGAAAGTACGCGAGTGCATGAGAAAAGACATGTGAAAGGGAAAATCAAATATCCTTTTACTTGTTTGGAAAACTCGTTCTTGGCCTTGTGGTCACCTCTCTCCTTACTACAGCCATGTCTTTTTTCTCACACTGGTAGACTAACTTCCCCTTAATTAAATAGCAAAAAGAACGAAACATTTTGAATAGTGAGAATTTTGCTCTAGTAAATCTGTTTTCATTGGGAAGAACTTTGTAAAATTCACCTTTCCTATTGAATAACCTCCTCCTCCCCTCTAGAAGTTTTTTGCCCATTCTTTCTGTTTCCTCCATTCAGTGTAACCAATGATACTCTCTCTGCAGCTGCTGTTAGTAATAGCAGAGTCTAGTAGCAAGCTGCACCAGAACCTTCAGATAATCAACATTCCATCCGCTCTTATGTGCCAAAAATTGGACATTTACACACAGGTACTCTGTCCTATTGCCTAATTGCTTCTAATGCTAAAATGTTTTCCAGTGGTGCAGCCAGAACATTTAACTTCATTATGCTATTGCCTTTCCTCTTAACATTCTCCAAGTCTAGGGATAATTCCATACCATAATCCATATTGTTACTTTAAATATACTCATTAGCTTTGTTTGCATACTCTTGAATTTTCTTTATGGCGTACACATAAGAGGAAAATATAAAACCTATATTTTAGGTTGAAGAAGAAACTGGGTGAGTGGAATAGTTTTGTGGTGGTAGTGGCCATATTTCAATAGACTAAGTTTATATGCCAGATCCTGACTTGTATGGAGGACTTGTCTTTCCTCTGGCAGCCCTTACCATTTTAACTGAAAATTTGAAGTTAGCCCTTTAAGATTTACTCCTCACTCTCTCATTTGCACAAAAACATTGCTTAGCTATAACTGAGGATCTGTTGAAGAAACCACAAACAGCAATTAAAACATATTTTTAAAAGTATATATTTATCATTCAGCTGTTGAAAAGAGTTGATACCCGATTGTAGGGCTATGTATCCATGCATAATCAACAATTAGTTCAATATCTCACTCCATATTTACGATACCATCATTCCAATCTAAACAGAAGTTTCTCTCTCTCACACACACACACACACACACACACACAACATCAGTCAAAATTTTAATGTGATATCTAATCACTTCCTCCCATATTTGGATAATATGCCAAAGGAAAAAAGCTATTTTGGGGTTCCAGTTATTTAGTTTTATTTTTGTCCAACAACAAGAGAGCCAGAGATGTGGGTGCTATCTCATCCAGCTCCAGAGTCCACCAATCAGATGAGACAGATTGCAAATATCCAATCTCTCACATACCTTAAATTACATGCCTATTTATGCATTCCCAAGAATAGCAGAAGGAAACAACCATAGATAAAAAAACTAATCCGTGCAATTTAATTTTAGATTTAGGGTATCAGAAATTATTTTTAGCTGATTAAAAAATGTAAACAATTGTGTATGAATGTATCAATTTAATTGCTGGAATTTTTATTTCTCTCCCTGGCTCAGATCCAAATCAAGAAAAAAACTGATATTTTTATGATGCATAAGAAGTGTCTTTTGATGCCAGTCCATAACTTTATCGTGAAGAGCTTGTTGATTATAAGAAGAACTGATTTAAGATGCAAAATTAATACTGAAATATCAACAAACTACTGTTTTCCCTTTTCTTGGGAAGTTTTGGTAACTTCTGATGTCCATTCAAAGAATCCCTAGTCAAAAGGACTGACGTATTAGGTCAGACCAGTGGTTTGTCTAGCGCAGTCTTCTGTTGTATTTGTTACTCTGGCCTGAGGCTTTGGAGGAAGGTGCAACAAACCCCAGAGTGAACAGTTATAGAATAACTTGTCCACAGGGAAATGTATTCTTAATGTTGCCACATATTAATAGTTAGGATACCTTGACATATCAGGGTTTCTGTTCCTTATTTAGAAAATATTTTTATTCTACGTAATGTTAACTATGGATGGTCTCATTATCTATATAAATATCAATTTATTTTTTAACTCTGCTAATTCTTGGGCTCAGCTGCATGCTTGGGTAATGGTTCCTACATGTTAATTACCTGTGAATAAATAACTATTTATATAAAGCCATTTTAAACTTACTGCATTTGCATGTATTTGTACTTATATATTTCTCTTTTATATTACTTTCATTCAGTATACTTTTGTCAACTCTCCAAACAATCCCATTCTTTTCATTCTCTTCTCATATGGAAGTCTGCCCTTTTGCAATTTAATTGTACATCTTTTTTTCCAGATCATTTACAAAGATGTAAACCAATACATGGCCTCCTGTGGAAACTTGCAAAACCCCACTGTAAACATTTTGCGTGAAAAAAAATACTGTTTATTTGTAATTTTGTTTTTGTCTCAGCCAGTTTGTAATTCACAATAGTACTCTGTCACTTTAGAACTATTTAGTATCTATTCTACCCTCTAGTTTAGAACTCTTTAAAGGTTTTTTGAAAGTCCAAAGGAAGCATATAAAACCAGTTCACCTTTATAAATTAGTTGATACACTGAAAGAATTTTACATTAGAGAGAACCTTTTTTTTTTGAGAAACCATGTTTATGTTTTTCAATGCAATCATATTTTCTACTTCTTATTTCTATTTCTGCAAATTCTTTTGATATGTAAGAAAAGCTTATCGGAATCAAATCCAGCACCCTTTTTTCAACCATAGGCACAGCATTTATCATCCTCTGGATCTTTGGTAGAGTAAAAAAAAAGAAAGAAAGAGAAATTGTGTACCTTTTTTAGTAATTTAGATACTTTATTCTTAAATTATTTAAATATTCCTGGAGGAATACCATCTGGTTTGGGAGATTACATGCACTTAATTTATCCCTTTCTGTCACTTGCTTCCTCCATGTTTAATGTCTCAATCTCTGACAGTGCTTTTACTTCCTGAAAAACAGGTCCAGGTTCCTTTGGTTATACGTAATATCTTTCTCCCCCCACCCTTTTTATGTCTTTGGCCTTTTACTCCTCCATCTTCCTTTTTTTTACTCCCTAATCTCCATCTTACATTTACCCCACATTAGTTCGTATTTTTTTATATGATCTTCGTTTGGGTTGCATTTCGATTGCTGAAGAATATCTTTTTGACTTACCTAACCAATTGAACCTTGCCATTTAATGATATTGTTATATTTTCTTATATTCATTTCCTTTTTCTTTCAAATTATATTGTGGATCCTGTCCCTGTGGTTATAATATAGTTTAGCTAACTCTTTTGCATTATTTAGGACATAGTTGAATGCTTGTGTGCCCTTAAGCTGTTTAAAAGCACAATCATATAAGGCTTCAAGCATTTGCCCTATCTAAACCAGTTTCTGATGTGACTGTTGACCAATAAATGTGCAAGTATTTGAAGTTATTGTTTAATTAGATTTGATTGCTTCTTTTATCTCCTCTAGCATTACACACGCATTCCTTTTCCTGATCACAAGACTGATAATATAACTTTTTAGTATAGCTGTACTCTTTTCCGTTCAAATTATTATCTATGCAAGTTCTTCCATGTGATCCTCTCCATTCAGGTACTGTGAGTAGTTAGCAATGTTAGTCTGAAGTTAGGCAGAAAACAGACGTTCTTTGAAGATATCCAGAGTAGGTGATTGTACCGCCTCTGGGGGGAGTCTATTCCAGACCCTGGACACTCAAGTTGTAAACAAGTTTTTCCTTATGTCTAATCTAAAGCAGTTTTCTAGCAATTTATGGCCATTAGTTCTAGTCTTCCCCTAGGGAGTCCTGGTGAACAGGTGTTCTCCCAGTCCCTGATGTGCACCCCTTATATACTTATAGGCTGCCACCAAGTCCTCTGAGTCTTCTCTTCTCCAGGCTGAATAGACCAATGTCTCTCAACCGCTCACTGTATGGCGGTCTTTTCTCCATACCTCTAACCATATGCGTAGCCCTCTTTTGGACTCTCTCGAGCCTCTCCGCATCCTTCCTGAAGTGTGGTGCCCAGAACTGGATGCAGTACTCCAGCTGTGGTTTTACCAAGGTTGAGTAAAGCAGGAGTATGACATCCTTAGTCTTGTTTGAGATGAATTGGTAGATGCATCCTAGGGTTTTATTTGCTTTGCCAGCTACAGCATTGCATTGATGGCTCATGTTCATTCTATGGTCTATCAAGACCCCCAGGTCTCTTTCAGTTGTGGTGCTAGTAAGCGTAGCACCGCCAAGCCTGTAAGCAAGTTGCGGGTTGTTTCTCCCCTGATGGAGCACCTTACACTTCTTGGTGTTGAACATCATCAGGTTTTGATCCGCCCATTTTGCAAGCCTGGCCAGGTCAGCCTGTATCCCCAGTCTATCCTCCAGCGTGACCACCATCCCCCATAATCTGCTGTCATCTGCAAACTTTGCCAGGCTGCTTTTAACACCCAAATCCATATAATTAATGTTAAAAAGCATCAATTCAAGTACTGAACCCTGAGGGCTGCTGCTGGTCACCAAGTGCCACATTGACTCAGTTCCGTCTATTATTACTCCCTGGGTCCTCTCTGGTTTCTTGGGAGGTATCCCCCAGGCTAGGGGCACTTTCCAGAGAACAAGCTATCACAACTGATATCCCCAAACCAAGGAGTGAACTATCCTTTAGACTGAAATTTCAAATGCTTGCTCTCAACGCAAAGGTTTTTAGGCAGCTAACTAACAATCTTCTTTTATAGGAGTGGGCAAAATACTTTGCATCCTTAAATTAAAACAAAAAACCCCCATGCTTTTCTAGATTTGGACGGCTAAAGAGGATTTTTAAGGAAAGCTGTGACTTGCCACAGTTCACCCTGAGACCGAAGTGCTCTTCTAAATGACAAGGAAAGTAGAGAAAGAGGCCTTCAGTGTATAGGTCTATACTTAGGATCCTGTTTTTTTCTGATTAAAAAAAAAAATCCCTAATTTGGGGGTTAAGAAAGTAACCCAAAATCCACATTTTTCTGTGATTAAAAAGAAACACCACTAATATATAGATTTCTCTCCGTTTCCTTTTGATTACAGAAAAATGTGGATATTTTGGGTTACTTTTAAGCTGAAAATGGGAGTGTTTCTTTATTTGAGAAAACCAGGATCCCTGATTGACTAATAATCATTCGTTAAAAACAGGGATGTCCCAGACACCTTTGTTGGTCCTGTACTCCTTCCCAGGCCTTTATTTATATTATAAAGCCCTGTAAACGATCAGCATTTTCCACAGGTTCCGAGGTTAAAATCTGGGTTTTGAACAGCTCTCGATTTAGCCGCGTTGTCCATAAATGTTTTTTGTTGGTGGGGAAAGAAGCTGTTGCTGTGTTAGGGTGGAGGTAGGGTCAGTTTACTGAGGCAGGAGCTACTTGTGCAGAGAGGTTTCTTTACTAAGGCCAGCAGCCTTCGGACAGGCAACCAACGCGCTCTCTCCAAGCTCAGCTCATCTCCGCCCGGCCATTAACGTTCTCCAATCTCGGCAGTTATTGCCTCGGGCCCATTCCCGCGGGAGGGAGAAGCAGAGCTGCGCGCCGTCATGGTTAACACGAGCGGTTCTGCTGGGACTCGACTGCGGCGGAGTCCGCCCGGAGCTTCCCGCCCGCCTGAGGCAGCGCTGACAGGATCCGCCTGGCTTTGCTGAAGTGGCGAAGCCCAGGAGCGCGTGAGGCGCCCAGTCCGGATCCGCAGCGTCCCCGAGGGCTGCTTCCCGCCGAAGTCTCCGCGCCACCACCCTCCTCCCAGCTCTGACACCCCCTAGCGGCCGTTGGCAGCTCCCGGCATGCAATGCGCCGCGGGGAAGGGGGGTAGTTCCAAATACCAGACTCCCGCCCTCTCCCTGGCTCAGAGACGCGGGCTGGACCTGCCCGTTGCCACGGCGACCGAGGGCGGAGCCACGTTATATAAGGCCGCGCCGCTGGAGGCGGGCTCGGAAATGGCGGGACGGGGCTAGGCCGGGCCTGCGCAGAAAGGGGGGCGGGGCTTCATTAGCTCGGGTGCCCCGTGACCACAGTCACGTGACCAACAGGGCCGGGCGGCGCGATGGGCACCGCGTTGGACATCAAGATCAAGCGGGCCAACAAGGTGTATCACTGCGGGGTGAGTGCGGGGAGCGGCTCGGGCTGCCCCGAGGCACCCGTAGTCTCCCCGCGCCCGCCTGCTCTTTCCGGGGCCAATTAACGACCCCTTCCCCCTCCGTTAACGGCCGCAGCCCGGGCGCTGCTTCCTGCTGGCAGGGACCCAGCTCCCCGCAGGCGGCCCCGCTGTCCCCTCGGTGTCGCTGTCACAGCCACCTCCCCGCACACTGCTCTGAATCGGCACTGTGGAAAAGCAGCAGCCTTGCAGGAATCCCGGGTCAGCCCAGAACTGCTTTGTAAAGCACCCCATGAGCAGAATCCTCCAGGCCACCTGGCAGCATGTCTTGCTTGGAGCCGTGTTGGTCTCAGGACATAGGCACACAAAGTTCTTTGGGGCAATCCAGTATGTCTTTTATTAGACCAGTTAAAATCTTTCCAACTGTTTGAGTTGGTTTAATGAAAGATATCGGGTTGACCCAAAGAAACTTGCCTGCCTGGTTGGATCCTGGCATCCCAGCTGAAGGCTCCGCACAGAACCGATCCAGCCTCCGGCTCTGAATTGTGCATGGAGGGCTGCAGATCTCGTTGCACAGCTGCTCTGCACTCTGGTGAGGTGTGTGCAGTTAAGGTCAATCGAAGATGATAAGGGGCCACAGTGTCTTTGAAAGGCACAAGGAAAAGCATTGCAACAGCCCCTCTCCCATCCCCGTCTCCTTTGCATGGGTCCTGAGTTCAGTCTGCCCACAGAAATCTTCATTTTGGCTCTATAGAGAGGAGATGGACAAGTCTGAGGGAGTTCAGCAGAGGGCAGTGAAAATGGTGAGGGTGCAAGGGCACATGACTTATGAAGAGAGACTGGGCTTATTTAGTTTGCAGAAGAGAAGACTGAGGGGATTTGATAGCAGCCTTTAACTGCCTGAAGGAGTTCAAAGAGGATGGATCTGGGGTATTCTTGGTGGTGGCAGATGCCAGGACATGGAGCAATGGTCTCAAGTTGCAGCAAGGGAGATTTAGGATGCCTATTAGGAAAAACTTTCTCACTAGGTGGGTGGTGAAGCACTGGGACAAGTTGCCTAGAGAGGTGGTGGACTCTCCATCCTTGAAGGTTTTTAAGGCCTGGCTTGACAAAGCTCTGACTGGGATGATCCAGCTGTGGATGGTCCTGCTGTGAGCAAGGGCTTGGACTAGATCAGAGGTTCCCAACCCCCGGGCCATGAAGGGTTAGCCGCCGGCAGCCAACCCTTTTTTATACTCAGTACAAAAAGGTTGGTTGCCGGTTCACAGTGTGCCGGTGACTTCCGGACTGCACTTTGCCGGTCCTCAGTTTGCTGGTCTGCAGTCACTTCCAGTCCCCAATCTAAAAAGGCTGGGAACTCCTGGACTAGATGACCTCTTGAGGTCCCTTCCAACCCTAATTTTCTATGATTCTGTGTGGAACTATGCTTTTTATTAAGTCCCAGTTAATAAAGTCAGTCTACAAACCCTTGTACTCAAACTAAGTGATAGTTTTGGGGGTCCTGTCTGCCTTTCACCTCCAGCCCAAGGAATGGTTTCATCCATACCTCTCCTTGGCTCTGCCTCCTCTGTGGTTCTTGCAGGCTGGATCCCACATAGCTGTACCCAGCTACCCTTGGTGCAGCGAGGGGACTAGACCCACTGCACTGGGTTCAGCTCCCACACACCTGTGCATGCTGCTTTTGGGTTCCAGCTTGGTGTCCCATTGACACTGTCCTTAGCAGAAGAAGCTGATGGTTGTGCTTTACATTTAAAAAAAAAAAAAAAAAAAAGCCAAAAAACCTGGGG